GAGAGAGAGAGAGAGAGAGAGAGAGAGAGAGAGAGAGAGAGAGAGAGAGAGAGAGAGTACTTACCTTTTCATGTCAACCTTTTGTGTGCAGAGTGCGCGTGAGGAGTGTCAGGATCTACGGCAGGAAGCAAGTGACCTGCTGGAGTACTCAAATGCGAAAATCAATCGTGTAACGCGGTATCTGGGTGTTCTAGCTGACAAGGCTCGGAAACTAGGTGCACTTCCTTTATTCCTTTCAGATCATATTGATGCCTGTCCCACATCTGCTTTTCGCTTTTCAAGCTTCTCTCTCAGATGGTTCTGATTGTGTTTCTGCAGTACGACCTCTTCCTTGCTCCCAATTATTGCACGTTACGGCTGTGCTCAATGTGCTTTGTTGGCCTCAGCGGGTTAGCATGGGTTAGTTTTACCACAGTACCAGGAGCTGGGGGGCGATACAGGCGGACCTAAGCGTGGGAGCTTGAATGCAGGTAGACTTTGTTTTGATATGTGGAATGCATGAGTGCTTATGCGAGAGGCAAGGTGACCTTTGTGTTCAGCAAAGCTGTAGCCTTTCTTCTCTTTGTTCCTTCCTTTTTTTTGGACCATTTCGTCGTTTATGCGTGTCATCCTTGTGGAGGGGAAATGCTAACCTTCACTGTATCGTTCTATGAATGTCCCAAAGGACAAGCTGTAACCGTTGTGTGTGTTTGACTCACTGGGATGATGCAGAGGAAAGTGTCAAAGGCGAGGGGGCGGCAGAGGGAGGGGGGTGGGAGGGGGGGAGGGTATATATCTGGTTTAGGGGTGTCAGAGCCATGGAACTGGGCTCGTGTGTGGTGCTAGAGCCGGGTGGGCGAGAGGTCTGGCTGCGTTGTGTGCATGCCATCTAGGACCATCCTTCATGGATGGCTGACACCTGAGGAGCCAGCTGCTCAGGTGCAGTGTAGCTTCTGCGTGGTCACTGAATCAGGCATGCTTGGATCTGTTAATCAAGAGTCTAATAGTTAAACCTTTGCAGTTTGATGACATGGAGGGCCACCGTCCTCATATGTAAGCGTACATAACACCATCTTCATACATATACCACCGTCTTTCATGTCTACAGAAGCCGGGAGTTCCAGCTGTCCCACTGTGGTGGCAGGCATTCCAGGAAGGTCGCCACCAGAATGTACCTGGATGTTATCATGTCCAGGTGGTACACATTATCTTCCCAACTGCACCTCTAGGTCTCCCTTGAGAGTGACAGTTTGATATAGAAAACGAAATCATTTCTTTTTATTTTCACACATGGGAGGAGCTGCAACGGGTTTAGTGTCTTTGAAGACGGATATTGGTTGACCAGCAGTAGGGTTTCTTGATAGCCTGAGGGTATAGCTTGGTAGCCTGATCCATTCATTGTGTCGGTGTCTCTTCCAGCTGAGCTGCGAATATGCTACCGTTGTCGCCAGGGCACAACACACCCTCATTGTGACTGTATTGCTGGCGAGAAGTGGCATAAAGATGCCTTGTATACATTTATTATGAGAGTGTGTTGTGTCGGGAGAAGCGGGTTAGCTGCAAAGTTTGATGTCCGTCTGTCATAATTACCTAGCCCCTAGTTTCTCTAACAACCAATCACTGTTTCATCTCCTCTGTTACGTCATAATTGCTGTTTAACCGCTGTACGAGAGCTTAATGTTTTGTCTTCCTGTTATTCCATCAGGATTCGAACTCGGTATTAGTTCCCTAACAGTTAGTTCTGTGTACCATTCAGCCGAATTGAGTTGGGGTTCTTTGAATGGTTTGTCAACGACGATGGGCCCGTCTTGTGATAAAATAATGTGTAACGCAGTGGGACCCAGACATCGCTCTGCTGTCTTCCCCTGAACACAACAATGCACCCTCATCGTGAATGTATACAAGCAATAATTTCGGTCAATGCATTCGTATTGAGGGTGATTGTTGGAAGAGGGTTGTACCGTAGTGGTGTGCTTCTCTTTGGCAAATGGGGACATGCCACAGCAATCGAAGTCTTTTCCGCCTCGTCCTTCTGCCGCGTTTCAACTTCCAGTTTGATGATGCAGCCAGAGTCTGACATCAAGTTCGGTGGGAGTTTTTTTTTTTTTTTTTTGGTCAGACTTTCAGGAGGTGGCATAATGTGGATTTGCCTGTGAGGAGGTAATGTAATTCCTCTTGTCGACTTTCCTTTTTATAGTTAAGTTTTTATTACTTTTAACAGTTTTTAGGAAAGAATTTGAAAGAAACAATGGAGTTTCTCTGTCTTCTGACATTTACTTGTCAGACTTCTCAGCAGAGCTGGAAGCAGAATCTCCTTTTTCAACTTTTTGTTATTTATGCCCATCTTTTTCTTCCAGTGGATTATAATGGCAAAGAAAACGAAAGAAGAAGCCCGGCCATTTTGGCTAAATGGGGTGCACTTCGAGCTGTCGATGATAAAAACAGGTCATGAGCTCGAATCCGGCCCGATACAATAACGATAACTGCTAACTTGTTATCAAGAACGAAAAAGAAAAAGAAAAACAAAAGAATAAGGTAAAGCTGAACCCGGGAGGAGTGTGGATAGCACAGCGCAGCCCTGACTTGAAGCGTTGACTCCCCTATTTTTTTAATTTCATTGTGTCACCCATTTTTATAATTATATCTGTCCGTATCTTGGATACCAGCCGGGCTGCCCTGGTCACCTTGTTTTCCTGGGCGGGCCAGCCATGCAAGGACCAAAGAAGTTCCCAGCAAAAAAAAAAAAGAAAAAAAAAAATCTGAAAAAAAAATGCTATGCAGAAAAAAAAACTGAACGACATTTGCCTCAGGGTCACATTGAATTTCTTTACCAAATTTAAAATGAAAAATAAATTTAAGAAATGATTTTTTAATTTATTTTTTTGCGCGGCCAGGCAATTGGTCCCGGGCCACTCTGGTAGCCTTGTTCGTGTCTTTTTTTTCTTTTCTTTCCTGAACCTGTACTGTCTATCCCCTGGGATGAAGTCCCACTAGCAATGAGGATTGGATTTGAAGCCATGAATCTGGACATGTTCGGGGAGAGGTGCATCCAGATTCAGGTGCTGAATCCAATCCTCTTTGGTAGTGGGACCCTGCCCGGGGGTTAAGGTGGATTATCACTTTCAGTATCATTGGTTACGGGACTCTGCAGACTGTAGAAGGTTCAGCCTCCTGACTAGTCGGTGAAACTCCGACGAAACAGTCTGTCACGGTCCCTCGTTTGTTGTCCTCTTCTCCCTCTCTGACTACGGTTTACCGGCCTGTTCTGTTTGGCAGTATGTTTTTTTTTAATGAAAAAAGTAGGAGTCTGCCAGTACGTTTTTTTTTAATGAAAAAAAGTAGGAGCAGTTATACCTGGCGTCAGCTCCATGGTAGATGTCAGTGGCTGTTACTTGATAACTCACGAGTTCAAATCTATAATCATATCGCAGGTGGTCTCCCTCCTTTCCAAAAATGGAAAAAGAAAAGTTCGATAAACCTGACATTTAGTTTATAACTTTGTAGTAATAACTGACCTTACATCATAGGCGTAGTAATGGAGGAAGTTATGGGCCACTCTGCGCTACTCACCAAATGTCCAAAATGGGGATTTTATCTTTTGCTAGAAGGTGGAAAGACAGACTTGCAAGATTCTTTATTCGACATACACTCGACATACACTTGCCATGGTCGTCTTTTAAACATTTGTTGAGTGCTGCATCGAGGTCCTGTATTCACAATTCAGGCGGCTGACAGCATGGTTTGATTTTGTATTTGTTTTTGGAGCTGTGCTTCGATACACCAATCTTTTCTCTTGTTTCTTTTTTGAGCAACGGTCCAACCTGACGGCATGGTCCTTTTTGGTTTTTCTTATGCATGCTGATTTTTGTTTGTTTTTCTGTCCCTTCCACTTTTATCTCAGTCTTCTGACATATGACATCTGGCTGCGTGCTTGTCAGAACAGGTAAATCTAGAAATTCCTATTTATAGAGGGCTGAGAGTCTGAGACGCTGATGCAAAAAGGATTACAGTAAATAAACCACATGGCCTAAAAGAGGGGAGACGGATCGCACCACTTGTACTTGTTTTTTCTTTTTATTTTCTGATTTAAAAAGTATGACCTTAAATACGAGGGGGGACAGATTGCACCAGTTGTAGTCTTCCTCCCCCCCCCCTCTTTTCCCCCTTCCTCCCCAACTCCAGCCGTGGATCGCACTGCAGTTTATACGTTGCAGCAAGATTCTGATGAACTCTAACTTACCCCCCACCCCCCCCCCCCCC